GATACCCCAGGAGATGGCCAGGGCTTAAAGCAAAACTTCAGAGAACAGCGTCGCTTCGCTTCGCTTCGCTTGGCTCAAGTCGGGCCTGTCTTCCTGCAGGGGGATTTCCGACGAAATATAAAAACACACCCCCAAGATAGTCAAAACAGAATCCGAAAATAGCCTGGGGACTTTTTTTGGGGGGTATTGTTTGACCTTTCTGGGGCATTTTTGGTATTATATTTTCATTTGTTCGTCGAAAATCCCCCTGTAGGGGGACAGGCCCGACATAACGCTTGGCTTCGCTTCCTCGCGCCTGGGTCGTGGGGGCCGATCCATGGAGAGGAGGCACGCTGCCAAGTAGCTCCCAGATGTCGGAAGCATGCTTCAGACATGCTTTGTTTGTGCAATGTGGTGTAAAAACATGCTTGAAACATGTGTAGACCATGTTTTACACATGTTGAACACATCTTTACTTCAATGATCTGATTGTTAGAGTGTCCATTGTCATGGCATCCACAACGCTCGGGTCGGGGTTGGCGGGGCCCGGGCCTCGAGCGTCTCGAGGGGTTGTCGGCTCCCAGAGAGGGCCTCAGGGACCAGCGCGTCTTTGGATGTCGAAGTCGACTTCCAGAGAGCACACACACACACACACACACACCTGTTTTTCGGGAGTCGGTCTCGACATCCGCTACCAGACTGCGTGCTTCTAGGAGTCGAGGTCGCCTTCCAGTCGCGTGCAGTCCTCTCATTCTTTGGAAGTCGAGCTCGCCTCTCGAACCAACACGCTGCTGGCCTCGGCGCAGCCTCGCCCTCCGGCGGAACGGGGGGCGGTAGGCTGGCGGACGTATCGAGCTGCGGCGGGCCCGCTGGTGGCAGCCTGCGGCAGGTCGGCGGCAGGTCGGAGGAAGGCGGCGGGAGCCGTCGGAGGAGGAGGAGGAGGAGGAGGAGGAGGGGGAGGAGGAGGAGGAGGAAGAGGAGGAGGACGACGAGGAGGCCGAGACGTCAGCATGTTCGGGTGCAGCGTTCCCGGAATCGGCTGCATCGCCGCGAGTTTTCGGATCCTTTCCCTCCCGCGTGGGCCCCTCTCTCGGGCTCGCCCCGGCCGTCCCCGGAAGGTCGGAGGAGGGCGGCGGGAGGAGACGTGAGACGTCAGCATGTTCGGGTGCAGCGTTCCCGGAATCGGCTGCATCGCCGCGAGTTTTCGGATCCTTTTCCCTCCCGCGCGGGCCTCTCTCGGGCTCGCCCCGGCCGTCCTCGGAAGGTCGGAGGAAGGCGGCGGGAGGAGACGTGAGACGTCAGCATGTTCGGGTGCAGCGTTCCCGGAATCGGCTGCATCGCCGCGAGTTTTCGGATCCTTTCTCTCCCGCACGGGCCCCTCGCTCGGCCGGGGCGAGAACGCGGCTCCAGGGGGACGGGGATTCGGATTCCGGGGGGCCCGGACCTTCGGACCGAGAGAGAGAGAGAGAGACATATATATATATATATATCTTTATATATATATATGTATAGCTATACATATATATATATATATATGTGTGTATAGATGTAGCCATGTTTGTAGTTGTATATATATTTATGTATCGAGGTCGTTTCGGGGAGGGTACCCTGGTGAAATCTCCGTGTTTGCTGGGTGTTCCTGTGCCTCCTGGGGCGGGTGCCCTTGGATGTTTGGTTATGTTTGGCTTGGCCGACAGCGGGCCCCATGCTCTGCGCATCGAGCATAGAAGGGCCCCTAATCCCAATCATGCAATGAAGACGTGGCCTCACTGAAGCCCCGTCTTGAGAGTAGAACAACTATGGGAGGTGTGGTCCGATCAATCTGCAGAAAGGACCCCCTATCCCCAATGTTTTTGGCCCTCCTGCGTCAGGTCCCCCCAAGGGGTTGGGGGTCCTTTTTTGGCCAATCATCTTCTGGTCCAGATCCGATGGTAGTGGGAAACACGAACAAGAACCCCTAGCCAACAAGCCCAGGTCCGACGGCCCTTTGATTCGCAGAGGTATCGAACCAAACCGCCCATGCTTCTTATCCCTCGTCTGAAGACGGGGACCTCAGCGAGGCCGCGTCCTCACTGTCTTGTTCGGGTTCGGTGCCCTCCCACTAGTCTTAAGTCGGGCCTGTCCCTCTACAGGGGGGATATTCAAAAACAGTTAAAAAATAGTCTGGGGACTATCTTTTGATATTTTTTGGCCATTCTGAGGCATTTTTTGAACCTTTAAAAAAAAAATCGCCGCAAATCCCCCTGTAGGGGGACACGCCCGACTTAACACTGGCCTCGATGGATGGCCCAGGGCCGGCCGTCGTGGAGAGCGCACGCGCGGTGTCGGAGGCCCGGGGGCCGGCGGGAGGAGTGCCGGGCCCCGTCTGCCTGCCCGGGGGGGGGGGGGGGGGCCCTCGCGGCCACGGCCAGGCGCAGCCTGCGAGGCTGCGCAGGAGGGTGCTCAGGCTAGAAGGAAAGGAGGAATCGGAATCTGAAGCGCACTAGTAGTCATAACGGGAAGGAGAGGAAGAGGACGGATGCTAACAATTATGTTGAATAGTTACAATAATATTGATAGGAATACGGTTGGGGCGTTGACCTAAGGACCCCTAGATAAGGAACGAGGCCCCTTTTTCCCATACTTACACTTCGAGTTCCCATCGGAACCCTAAGCAAAACCAAAGGCGAACTGCAAAACAACTAAGGAACACCGAGCCCCTCCCCAACGAAAAGGGTTCCTTCCTCAGCGCCCCGACTGTAGCCATAATGCTGATATCACGAATCATCATACTAACCATCGTCTGGATACTAATAACAAGAAGAAGAACCAGCACCAGCATGCATATGCCACCGTGCCGTCAGTTCCGGCGCGCGGCCCTGCGTCTTGGGGGGGGCGCCGAGGCCACCAGGGCAGACGCCGCCTCGGGCGCGGCGGGCTTGCGGTATAGGGCTTGCTGCGGCGCCCGCATCGTTCCTGTGGGGCGCGACGCAGGGCTTGCCGTGGGCTTGCCGTGGTGACGGCGTCGCCCGCCTCGGCGCGTCGAGAACAAACGGCGCGGCGACATAGACCTTCGGAGGCCCTCGCGGATTTTCCCGGGGCGGCGCGCGTGGGCTCCCGGGGGCGCCTCCGGCGCCGCTCCTGGCCGCCAGCTCCGCGCGCCAGGGAGGGGGGGCTCCAGCGCCGGTCCAAGGAGTCCGCGCCGCGGAGCTTCGGATGCTCGTGTCCGGGCAGTTCTGACTCGCGTCTAGTCGGCGGCGAACCCGGGGTGGGGGGGGGAAGTGAGAAGGAGGAGGCCTTCTCAGAAGGCTCGGGAGCCCTCAGGCCCTCTGAGCAGTTTCCGAAGCCTCCGCCAGGGGGCACGGACAACTTCTCCAGAAAGGCCGGAGGGCTCCCTTCTTAGAAGCCCCGCCGCCCTCCGAGAGGGCCTTCTCCTTCTCGCTCCCCCCCCTCGCTCGCCGCCGTTCTAGGGGCGTCGGGACTTCTCGTGAGCGGAGGGAGGAGGGAGGAGGGAGGAGGGAGGAGGGAGGAGGGAGGAGGGAGGAGGGAGGAGGGAGGAGGGAGGAGTGGGGCCGACCCCCGGCGGGGTGGGGAAGCAGCTGCCTCGCGCGCGGCGGCCGGGCGTTTTCCGGGCCTCGGGCCCGGGGGGGGGCCGCCACGCAGGCGCGCCCAGGACAGAGTGACCGGGTCCTTCGTGATCCGGCGAGGGCATCTGTACACCACCACTCCTCCTCCTCCTCCTCCTCCTCCTCCTCCTCCTCCTCCTCCTCCTCCTAGCTTCGAGCGGCGGGCGCCGAAGGCATCTATACACCACCACCGTGCCAGGCCAGGGCCATCCTGGGCCCTAGGATGGTGTATCGACCCTCCCGGCTCGGCCAGGAGGGCGTAGACACCATCCTGGGGCCCAGGATGGCCCTGGCCTGGCACGGTGGTGGTGTATAGATGCTTTCTGCGTGTCGTGATCCATTCGTGCTCGCGTCGTCACGACATCACGACGCGAGGTTTTCCAGACATGGCCGCGTCGTTCAAAGTCACGACGCGAGGTCGTCGGCCGTTTTCGGCCCCTGGGGGCCCTCAGCGGGCCCCCGGGGCCGTCAACAGAATTGTTCGTGATGAGAAGTTCGGTCTTGGGGAAAGGGTAGGGGTTTCTGGGGACCCCGTGTTGAGTGGTCTCTCCTCCCCTCCCTCCGCCTAATTCAAGCTTAGCGCGGCCCGCTTAGCTTCGACCGGAAGAGGTGCGCTCTCGACCCGCGGATCAAAACAGTGTTGAGAAATCTGGGGATGTGGGTCGAGAGCGAGCTCCAGGGGCCCACGCCTTGAAGCGAAACGCTCCCCGGGATCTGGCTGGGGGTGTATGCGCCGCCACAAGGCGTGCACATGTGCAAGGTTCTGCCTGAGGGGATGTCTGGTGGTGGTGGTGGTGGTGGTGGTGGTGGTGGCACATTTTTCGGCGGCGAGCGAGGGAGGACAATGAGAAAGAGAAGGCCTTCTCAGAAGGCGGCGGAACTTCTCAGAAGCCCCCGCGCCTTCTGAGAGGTTTTTTGTATCCTCTGGGAAGGCTGAGGAAACTTTTCATAAGGCCGGGGGACTTCCGAGCCTTCTGAGAAGGCCCTCTCCTTCTCGTTTCCCCCCTGGGCGCGCCGACTATTTATTTGTTTTTGTCTTGTTGGGTCACTGGATGCTTCTAGGACCTCTGGAGACCTCGAGGAACATCCGGAAGAGTGACCCTTCTTCCTCCGTTCTTTTCTCTTCCGCTTTCTCCTCCCCCGCCCTTTCGGGAGAAACCTCAAAGTCGAACTTGCTTGTTGCTCAGACGATTTATTTGCGCCCGCGTCCAGCCGTTCCGCTTCGTGTCCCGTTCGCGGAGCGCTGGCTGATGCAGCTTCTGCCTCTCGAAGGCCTGTGAGGAAGAGGAGGGCGGATCGAATGGGGGGTGGGAGGGCTTCTGTGGATTTCTCGGGGAGAGTCCCCAAGGTGGGCCTGCGAGGAGCACAGGGGACTGCTGGGTCGCTGGCCCTTGCGTCGCTCGCCTCCACCGACGGGGAAAAAGGGGCCTGCCGCCAGGTTCGGTGGCGACCCCGTGGCGCTGCGTCCCACCGTCCGCGTCCGCGAGGCGCCCGCCCACGCGGCGATTTGGCTGCGCCGCCGTCGCCGCTGCCGCCGCTGGCGCCGCTGCCGCCTTCGCCGCCTTCGCCGCTCGTCGTCGTTCACCGTCGTCGCTGTTGGCGCCTTCGTCCACTCCACCGTCGTCGTCACCTGGGTGGGGGGAGGAGGGCTCCAGCAAGCTTGTAGTCGCTTGGTGCTGTTCCACGTGTGTCGATCACCTCAACTCGCACAGGGTGTCGCGGAGTTCCTGGGAGCCCTCCACTTCTTCGACTGATGGCGAGGAGAACGTTGAGGATGAGGGTGAGGGGGGTGAGGAAGATGAGGATGAGGGGGGAGGAGGATGATGATGTTCCATGTGTTCGAGGATGAGGATGAGAGGGGGGGTGGGGAGATTCGAAGATTCATGCAAGAGGCGGAGGAGGGATGATGAGAGAGGAAGTTTGGGGTGGGGGTGGTGGTGGTGGGGGGGTTCAAGGCGGTTCTGCGGGCCCCCTGCTTGGAAGCCCGTTCTGGCCGCCCCCCCCCCCCCGCGCGACGGTTGTGCAACGTGTTTGGTAGACTTGGGGAAGCAAATATCGCACCCCTTTTCGGCGAAACTACATCGCTTCTCGCCCCTGGAAGTGACATCCCATCCCCAGGCCCCTCATCGCGGGATCCCACCAAGGTCCGTAAAGGAATCCAGCAGGACGTGCTTGAAGGGGAGTCTCGGAGAGTGAAAGAGTCCCTGGGAGCTTAAGGATTGACCATGGAAATTCGATCGAGGATGGAGGTTGGATGGATTGTTTGCGGATGGTAGCCACATAAGCTTTCGGGCCTATCCAATGGTTTCCCCGACCATTTTATGGTTTTGAGTCCTCGTTTTGAAGGGACAGTGCCCCGCGTCCTCCTCTCTCCTCTCTCCTCTCCTCCTCCCCCTACTCCCTTCTCCAATCCCTCCCTCTGCCCTCCGCATGTCAACCATTTCGGCACACCCCTCACGCGCTTCGTGACCCCATAGGAAGATCCAACGAAGGCCCCAGAGGGAGTGTTGGCATGTGGGCGTCGCGCCCGTTTCGGCACACTCCTTATCGCGATTCGTGGCCCCATGGGGCGCTCCACCCAAGGCCGCAGAGGGAGTGTTCGCATGTGGGCGCCACGCCTCCCCGCCCAACTCCCCATTTCGGCTTGACCCTCTCGCGTTTCGCGGCCCCATGGGGAACCTACCGAAGACCCTACCCTCAGCTGGTAGAGCTCCCATGGGGCCACGAAGCCGTGTGAGGGGTGTGCCAACGTGGGTTCGGTGGCCGCATGCGAGCGCTGGCATCTGGGCCGTCGCTGGAGCTCCTTCTGGGGCCACGGAACGTGTGAGAGGTGTGCCAGCATGGGTGTGGTGGCCGCATGCGAGCGCTGGCATTTGGGCCTTCCGTGGGGCTCCATATTGAGCCACGCAGCGTGTGAAGGGTGTGCCAGGATGGGCGCGGCGTGCGCATGCGAGCGCTGGCATCTGGGCCTTCGATGGAGCTCCGTACGGGGTCACGAAGCGTGTGAGAGGTGTGCAAAAAAAATGGTGTGGTGGCCGCATACGAGCGCTGGCATTTGTGCTTTCCGTGGGGCTCCCTATTGGGCTACGACGCGCGTGATGGGTGCGCCAAAATGGGCGCTGTGGCCGCATGTGAGCGCTGGCATTTGGGCGTTCGGTGGGGCTCTCTACGGGGACACGGAACGTGTGAGGGGTGTGCCACAATGGGTGCGGCGGCTGCATGCGAGCGCTGGCATGCGGGCGGGCTGTGCCAAAATTGGTGCGGTGGGCGCATGCGAGTGCTGGCAGCGGTGGGCGCATGCGAGCGCTGGCATCTGAGCATTCGATGGGGTTCCCCATGGCGCCTCGAGGCGTGTGAGGGATGTGCAAAATGTTTACGGTGGGCGCATGCGAGCGCTGGTATGCGGACCGTTGGTGGAGCTCCCTATGGGGCCGCGAAGCGCGTGAGAGGTGTGCCAAAATGGGCGCGGTGGCCGCATGCGAGAGAGCGCTTGCATTTGGGTCTTCGGGGGAGTTCCCTATGGGGCCACGAACCGTGTGAGGGGTGTGCCAAAGTGGGTTCGGTGGCCGCATGCGAGCGATGGCATCTGGGCCTTCGGTGGGTCTCCCTACGGGGCCACGAAGCGCGTGAGGAAAGACCGCGTTCTGTGGTCGCTTGGAGGGGGGGGGTTGGAACCGGACCCCCCCCCTGGACGGGGGGGGGAGTTCGAACCCCTCCCTCTTCCGTGATGGAGGGGAAGGGGGGTTGGTTCGAACCCCCCCCCCTGCTTCCCCTCCCCCTCATCCCCTACTTCTCCTCTCTCCCTCTCCTAGGGCCGGCGCCTGCGTCGGCGGCGGCTGGCGGCGTCGGCGGGGACGACGACTTCCTTTTCTGGGCCGGCGCCGGCGAATGCGGCGGCGGGCGGCGGCGGCGGGGAGCGTCGACGAGGACGACGGCAACGACGATGATGACGACGACGACGCTCCGCCACCGTGCCTTTGTTTTGGGTCAGAGTCCTGACGGATGCCTCTTGGGGTCTCGTCGGAGGTCTCTCGGGGGTCTCTGGAAGGGCATTTGTGCAGCCTCCTGGTCGCCTGTTGGGCGTCTCTAGGGGCCTCTCTGAGGAGGTGGTGGTGGTGGTGGTGGTGGGCTGTGGTGGTGGTGGTGGTGGTGGTGGTGGTGTGGTTGGTGGTGGTGGTGGTGGTGGTGTGGTTGGTGGTGGTGGTGGTGGTGGTTGTTGTCGTGGTTATGGTTGCAGGTTGTGGTGGTGGTGGTGATGGTGGCGGTGGTGGTGGTGATGGTGCCGTGGTTTCTGGTGGTGGTGGTAGTTCTGGCAGTGGTGGGTTAAGGTGGTGGTGGCGGTGGCGATGTTGGTGGTGTGGTGGTGGTGGTAGTGGTTCGTGGTGGCGGTGGTGGTGGGGGGGGGTTGTGGTGGTGTCTGTGGTGGCGGTGGTGGTGATTGAGGTTGTGGTGGTGGTTTGTCGCGATGGTGGTGGTTGTGGTGGTGGTTGGTGGTGTTGTTGTTGTTGTTGTTGTTGTTGTTGTTGTTGGTGGTGGTGGTGGTGGTGGTGGTGGTGGTGGTGGTGTGGTGGTTTGTGGTGGTGGTGGTGGTGGTGGTAGTGGGTTGTGGTGGTGGTTGTGGTGGCGTTGGTTGTGGTGGTGGTGGTGGTGTGGTGCTTTGTTGTGGTTGTGGTGGTTGTGGAGGATGGCGGTGGTGGTGGTGGTGGTTTTGGTGTGGTGGTGGTTTGTGGTGGTGGTGGGTTGTGGTGGTGGCGGTGGTTTGTGGAGGTGGTGCTGGTGGTAGTGGTGGTGGCGGTGGTGGTGGTGGTGGTGTGTGGTTTGTGGTGGTGGTGTGGGATGTGCTGCTGGTATCAGTGGTGCTTGTGACGGTGGTGGTGGTGGTGGTGGTGGTGGTGGTGGTGTGGTAGATTGTGGTGGTGGTGGTGGTAGTGGTGGTGGTTTTTGTGGTGGTGGTGGTGGTGGTTGTGGTGGTGGTGGTGAGTTGTGGTGGTGGTGGTTGTGGTGGTGGTGGTGGTGGCTGTGGTGGTGGTGGTGGTGGTTGTGTGGTGGGTTCGTGGTGGTGGTGGTGCTGGGTTGAGGTGGTGGTGGTAGGTAGTGGTGGTGGTGGTGGTAGTGGTGGTAATCGTCGCTGCGTCCCCGCTGTCGGCGCTGCTGGCCGCCGCCAGCGCCGGCGCCGGCGCGGGGGGGGGTTGGCGGGGGGGGGGTGTTTGGACCCCCCTCCTTTGGCTGCCTCTGGTCATCGTCGCTGCGGCCTGCCGTCGGCGCTGCCTGCTGGCGGCCGTCAGCGCCGGCGCCTGCGCTGGCGCCGAGGGGGGTGTTTTTTGACCCCCCCCCCTGGGAGGCGGGGGGGGTTCGGGAGGGGGGGTGTTAGGGGGGAGGGGAGCCCCCCTTGTTCTGATCGACGGCGCCGAGTGTTAAGGGGGGGCCCCCCCCCGGTTCGAAACGCGCCGCCGAATGTTCCCAAGGCAAGCGCCCGTGAAACGCGCTCTCTCCGCGTGAGGGGGGGTGACGGGAGGAGGGGGGAGCGGGAGGATGAGGAGGAGCAGGAGGAGGTGGAGGAGGCGAGGAGGAGACGTGGGTTCTCTCTTCAAAACGAGCACCCAGCACCACAGGATGGTCGGGACAAATTCGGCATGCCCCTCTTGTGTTCTGTGGCCCCATGGAGAAATCGACCGAAGACAGTATTCACAGCCGTGGTACGCACAGCTGCATACGTTTGGGTCTCTCGCCCGGAACATATGACTGTCTCAGGGCTGTCTTAGGGATCTGGATTGCCTGCGAGAATCTTGAAGACTCTCTTGGGTTGTCTTACTCTGTCTTACTCCCACCGACGCAAACGAACGAACGAAATCCCGATCTGCTCAGAGGCCGTGTCCTGCTACAGGCAACGGGGCAAAGCAAATTTGGATGACAACTCGCATTGCAGTGGCTATGGCAGGCCATCAATCTTTCGACTGCGCCTGGAAGAGACAATTCAGTTGCCACTTAGAAAGCGCGTGAGCGCCCTCGAGCTCAAATGTGCTTCTCTTTCGACGCAGGGATCTTAGTCTCACCGCTGCCCCCCTGCGGAAACTGGTGATGCCTTGCTCGTTTCCAGTGCTGGCGATACCGCTCGGCGGTTCCCCCCTGCCTGTGGAATTGGTGCGTCCTGTTGTGTGCTGGGGGTAACGGGGGGCGATCGATGATTAACTCTCTGGTCCAGGGGGGCGCGCATTTCATGGCCAGAGCAATGGAATTCCACAGATTTCCAGACCACCTGTTTTTCTTCTTGTTGGTATTGCTATTGTCATTGGTCGTATTGTTGTTATTCTTATCCTTATTATTAGTCGTGCTGTTGGCATTATTTCTCTTACCAGTCTTAGCATTCATACTGTTATTACCAGTCGTCGTATTAGTATTATTCTTAATCGTATCATCCTATATTAATAACGAATAAGTTTCGTATTCTTATTTCACCATGTTCCCTGCCCCCCCCAGGCCGCGCACATGCCTCGGGTCATGATGCACCAACCCCCCTCCTCTTGGCCGCGCCTCTTCTCTTCTGCGCACCTTGGGCGAGGGCTCATTTTGTGTTGGCAGCTTTAGGGGACAGGTGGCAGGGCTGGCCAGCCAGCCTCGCAACTGGTGCTTGGGGGGCAGGATGTGCTCTGTTCTGGAGAGACACAGCGCGGCACGACAACTCGTTTCGCGCCTACATGCTGCAAGCCGATGCACAAAGATCAGCAGAATCATGCGCTCTGGGCCTTCCAGGAGCTTGCGGACGTGATGCGGATCAACCTCGAGGTGTAACGCCCAGGTAGCCGCGTGCGCCGTTGCGACGTCGATGGGCTTTGGAATCTTGCTGCCGTGGGTATACGTACCGCTGCCGCACTGCACCAAGGAACGGCTGGCACCATGGGGAACCTGCGAGATGACGTGAAGAGGCCGCGGGGCCAGCCCAGTGGGGGCTCGCGCGCTCAGCCCCGAGGGCCGCGCGCTCACCCACGAGGGGTAGGAGGACCGCGCCGCTGAGGGGCTCGAGCTTCTCCACCCCGACGTCGCCGGTGCCTCCGCGATGCGGCGCGATCGTGCAGCCCCAGACGGGGTCGCGCTCGGAGTGAAGTCAGTCGGCCCGCGCCTCCTGTCGGGAGGCGCCAGCGGTGGGCCGAGGGCGCGGCTGTCGGTGGAGTTGGGTGGGGGGTGGTGCTGGTGGCGTTTCGGGGGTTGCCGGCGGCATCGCTGCCCCACCGTGTCCCTGGCTTTGCGCTCCTCGTTCTGCATCCCCCGGTCCCCCTGGGCCTCGTGGTGGGGTGCTCAGGAGGCCATCCGGGCCTCCCCGGAATTCTCAGGGACTCCTTCTTGGCAACGCCCGAGGTGGTGGAAGTGGTGGTTGTGGTGGTGGTGGTGGCGGGCAGGAGGCCGTGGGGGCGGTGGCCGTGGACGCAGGCTGAGACCATGGTGGTGGTCGGGCTGCTGAAGTCGATGCGGGAGCTGCAGCTGCTGAGCGCCAACGAGTACCTCTACGAGGCGCTCCGGGAGGCCCCCGCCAGCCGATGGGTGCGGGGGCTGCGCAGGAGAGCTCGTCAAAGTCGTCACCATCGCGAGGCTCATTCCGATCCGACCGGTCCGATTCGATATCGATTCTGGCTGACCCGATCCGATTCGATTCCGATGTTCCGACGATTTGATGCGGCCCGATGTTTGCCTGGCGTTGATCTTCGCTCCAAGACTTCGACCCCTTGCCGATGCAGCCTGGTTCGATGCACACTTCGATTCGATACAATTTTTCCGACTCGAATGCTGTCTCATCTTGCCATCGTTATTACCATCATCGTCATTCTCATTACCAGCATTGTTCTCTCAAAGTCAGTATCAGGCTCCAGTTCTTGGTCATCTATCATCGAGGACAAAAGAAGCCCGAACACTAATATCATAGTGTAGACATGGCCTCATGTGGGCCCCCGTCTTTGCATCCGGGATAATTGCTAGCTCTACGCGGCGTGGTTTGGCACATCTGCAGAACGGATCCCGTATCCCTTATGTTTTGGCACTCCTAACCTACGTCCCCTCCCAAAGGGGTAGATGTCCTTGTATGGATGATCGATGTGGCTGCTGGTAAGCGCACGCATGGAACACTGCGGAAACAGATGGATGTCCTGCTCCCAGGCTCGGCTCTGCCAGTGCACTGTCTCTCCTTTTACCGTCGACGCGACATGGAATGGTGAATGTGCCCAAGGTGAATCGCCCGATCTGTCTCTTCTGCAGACGCGCGGCAGGCCCAGTTGAATGCTCCATGTGTTGCCAGTTGCTTGGAGCCGCGCCTTGATCTTGCGGCGCATTGAGGCCTTGCCTCTCTACTTCTCATTTGGCCACAAGCACCAGTGGCATGTCATGCAGCGTGGTGCAACGCTGTTGTACGCGAAGCTGTTCAGGACCATGCGTGCCGCCCTGGATCCTGACCCTGGGCGGCCCCAAGAGGCCCGACAACCGCAAACAACATGAGAGAAAGCATCCGAAGGCACCTCTTCTCCCGAAACCTCATGACCTCAGGCACTCCTGGACGCCGTCCAAGAATCGGGCCGAACGAAAGGGGGGCGTAGGGAAAGGGGGGGGGTTACGAAAGCTGCTTAGTGCAGCTGGTTTCGGCCCCGCCGCCGGGCCCGTTCCTCGATGCATGGGCGCCTCCCGGCGCTGGGAGGCGCTGGGGAAATCAGCTACAGACGTGCCAGGAACCCACCAAGATGGCCGAAGTTGGCTCGAAGCTGGCCCAAGACGGCCCAAGCGGCCTCCAAGAGGGCCTCCAGGAAAGCCAGAAAAGGCCAAAAACACTAGTTGTCCTTAGGTTTTTGAAGGATTTTTGGCATTTGCTTCTCTTCGGCCTTCCGACGGACCGAGACTGCCCAAGAGCCCCGTGAGATGATTCTCCACCCTGCCCTTTGCTATCCCCCCCTTTCGCCCCCCCCCCCCCCCCGACAAAAGCTGCGGTGGTCGTTGCGGGCACAAGCCCGGGGCGACTCCAGCGGAGCCGGTGGCGCGGCAGGGCAGGAGGGCCTCCCCGCGCGGCCCCGCGCATCTCAAGCAGTGGCGAGGCGTCCAGGCGTTCCTATAGCCCTACCAAGCAAGATTCCAAGAACCTTTTGTGGTTGCCACGACATGTCCTTAGGAACATTTCTGCTTGGGACCGTCTTGTTTGATCACATCGGGCTTATGCTCTGAGAACATCTGGTTTTGTTCTTAGAACACTTCTGGGCTCTAAGAACATTTCTGGTTGGGACTGTCTTGTTTTATCACGTCGGGGTTATGTTCTGAGAACATATGTTTTTGTTGTTCTTAGAACCCTTTTTGGGCGCTAAGAACATGTCGTGGTGGGGCTGCAGGAATGCTGGGCTGGTCGGTCCCCGCTCGAGTAGCCCACGCCTGGCGCGCCCGGGCCTCTCCCACCGGGCCGAGGCCGAGGCCCCATCTCCCTTGCAAAATGGGCTCCCCGGGGCTCGCGGAGGCGCTCGGGGCTCCCCGGCCACCACCGTGTCAAGGCTGAGCTGCACTTGTCCATGCCTCGCTCTTCCGGGGCTCTGCCGTGCTCCTGCTCGTTACTCCAGAATTCGTAATAGAGGGAGGGGGGTCTCACTTCGGGGGGGGGTCTCTTCCAGGCTATCTTGGAGGGCCTGGGGGGTCTGGGGACGATGTTTTGGAGGGTTCTCCCACGGGGGGGGGTCTGAAATGGCTTGTCTTGGAGGGTCCAGACCCCCTCCCTTTTATTACGAAATCTGGAGTAACATGTGTCACGTGTGCGGAGCTACGCTGTCAACGCCGCGCTTTCCGGTGGCTTTGCTGTGTTCCTGCTCGCAGCGCACACCGCCAGAGGCGGGGGAGAGCTTGAGAGATCCACCTACCAAAAAAAGGGTCAACGCAAACGGGGGTCAGTCGAGTATAGCCAGGACCCCAGGTAAGGGGACCCCGTTAGTAGTAGGGCCCTGGGGCCCCTAAATTGGCCAGGATCACTATGCCAGGTCTGCCGTAGTTGGTGTTTTTTCGGGTGACGGCAGTTCTGGTTACGGGGCGTGGGGGCGTCTCCCAGGACACATCACTAAACCAGGTCCCACTAAACCCAGTTCTGCCAACGCCCAAGTCAGCCAGGGCGCCGGATCTTGCAGGATCCTGCAGGGCCGGGGCCGCATTGACCCGGGTTTGGGTGCAGGGTCCTGCAAAACCCGACTGGCCCGGGTTGGATGGACCCGGGTCCGAAGTTCCCCGAGACGTCGTGATGTGAGCTCCGATGCCGCTTGCGTGCTGCCCCGTGCAGGGCCAGCTTCATCTGGATGTGTACCGGCTTGCGTCGCCTTGCCTCGATGCATCTAGCTTTAGCCCCCCGCAGGGCGATTGGAGAAGAGTCGTCAAGCCCGAGGCCACGTTGGCCAGCTCTGGCATGGTGGAACGCTCTTCCCAGCAGTTGAGGAGCTGGCAGTTTTAAGGCAGGACGTTGTTCCGTCTTAGGGTTATGATGTTCCAACCTACTTTAGCCTTGACCGCCACAAAAAGTTTCGAGCACCAAACAAGGACCCGAACTCGAGTCTTTTTCACGTGTCGGGCCCTGCGAGACACTCGTCCGACACTGTTCGACATTGTTTTGACACTCTTTCGACACTTTCTCTAGTGCTCGAAATTATTTCTGGGATGTGGTCCTTAAGTACGATGGGAGCAACGGGTTGCCTTGAAGCTCAAGTGGTGTTTCTTTCTAGCTGTTGTTTAGTTGATGGTTTCGCCGCAAACATCGGTGGACCGAAGTAGGGACCGAACGAGTGGGGACGATGTCCAGTGGCAGCCCCACGTCCATTTTGAAAAGCGAATACAAGAACGTCGTTTGCCCATCCGCAGTTGCTGTCGGCATCGGGCAGCGCTTGTTGCTGGGCATCGCCCCCATTCTTTCAGCACGTGCCCCTTCAGAACCAGGGCGTGCCAGCAACAGCGCTTGCATGTTCTGGATCTCATTGGAATTGATTTTGGAACTGGGATGTGGGTGCACGGCCGCCTTCCGCCGAGCTTCCGCCGGCTTCCGACAGCGGAGGCGGCCTCGTGTTACTTTCGCCGACCTTCCGCCGACCTTCCGCCGCCTTCCGCCGCGGAACAGATGACAGCTCCTTCGATCCTGGGAGGCATGGCCAATTTTTTGGAACGCCTCAGATATAGTCCTAGCTCGCAGTGCTCACAACTGTACGAGTCTTGTGCTCCACTGGGTGCCCAAGAATCGGTGGCAGATATGCCGTGGGTTCCTGCGGCGTTGGCGCGACGGCGACGCCAGCGGGCGCTCAAGGTTGAATTCTGCGACGCGGAGGGACCGAGGGACACGGTAACGCCACTGCACCCGACGGCATCCAACCTGGAACGACTGGGGCCGCGATCGATGGAAGGCTGATCGATCGACGCGGTGCCAAAGACC